TCCAAAAACATAGAAACAAAAATGCTGCCAAGTTTCTTCATCCCCCTGGCCCACCTGGTCTTCCCTTGATCGGCAGCTTACTCCAGCTTAATAGCTCAGCGGCTACTCATATTTATCTTTGGGAGCTCTCTCAAAAATATGGTCCTTTAATGTCCTTGCAACTTGGTCATAGACAAACTCTAGTAATTTCTTCGGCAAACATGGCCAAAGAGATCATGAAAACCCATGACCTCGATTTTTGTAGCAGGCCTACTTTATGTGGCCAGCAAAAGTTATCTTATAATGGCTTAGATTTGGTTTTTTCACCTTATAATTCTTATTGGAGAGAGATTAGGAAAATATGCGTCGTCCATCTCTTTAACCCTAATAGAGTGTTACTTCATCGTCCCATTCGAGAAGATGAAGTTGCTCAAATGATCGAAAAGGTATCCAAAGCATCAGTCGGTTCGAAACCAATCAATTTGAGTGAGGCATTGATGTGTCTTACGAGTAGAATAATTTATAGAGTAAGTTTCGGCAAGAGATATGAAGAAGGAACTGAAAGATGTAGATTCGATGCGTTGCTTAAGGAAACTCAGGCCATGCTTGGGAGCTTCTTCTTTTCTGATTATATCCCTTTCATGGGTTGGGTCGATAGACTCTCCGGTTTCCTTGGTCGTCTAGAAAAAAATTTCAAAGACTTTGATACCTTTTATCAAGAACTCATTGATGAACATCTTGATCCAAATCGGCCAAAACCCAAGCAAAAGGATTTTCTTGATGTTTTACTACAAATATGGAAGGATCGTGTGTTTCAAGTTGATCTCACTTTCGATCACATAAAAGCTGTGCTGATGGTAATCGATCTTCACTCAAAACTTATTTTAGTTATTTTTTAGTAAATTTTATTCATATCACGATTTCTTAAAAAATGTTTCGTGTTCATCATTAACCTAAAAATCTCCCTTGACATTTTAAAATTGTTTCAAATTTCATTTTTTTTGGCAGTCAAATGTTAGAAGCTTGATGCAATTAGGCACTTCTGTTCCATGTGAATGTTCAAATGATCAATCAATCCACAATTTAAATACACATGGCACTAATTGTCTGTTAAATATTGTCAAGAATTTAATGTCACATTAATTGATGGAGGAGGAAGCATGTATTTGGAATAATTTAAAAGATCACGGATGGAAATTCGAAATTTAATTAAGTTGATTTACATAATTATTTATTACAAATTTGAGATTTAAATTTCAGTATATAATTTAACCTTTTTTCTCATTTTCAAACTACAGCCCTCTTTAAAAAAAAAGAAAAAGAAAAACAGAATTAGTAATGATAAACATGAAAGTTTTAGTTTAAGGCTGAAATGAAACAATATATTTAAAAAGTCTCAAATAAAATGTACTCATTTATTCAGGGTTATCATTAATTTTCTAACTTCCTAGTAGGAGTACGATTGTTACCCATTTTGTTTTCTTTTTATGTAGAATGTATTTGTTGGTGGGACCGACACCAGTGCTGCAACCGTGATTTGGGCAATGACCTTCCTAATGAAGAATCCTAGGTCTATGAAAAAAGTTCAAGAGGAAATCAGAAATCTCAATGGAAACAAAGGTTTCGTAGATGAAGATGATATTCAAGGTTTGCCATATCTTAAAGCTGTGATAAAAGAAACATTCAGATTGCAACCAACGGCTCCATTATTAGTGCCACGAGAAACAATTGGGAAGTGCAATATAGCCGGGTATGAAATACCTGCCAAAACACTAGTTTTCGTGAATGCATGGGCAGTAGGAAGAGATCCTGAAGCTTGGGAAAACCCTGGAGAGTTCTATCCTGAGAGATTCATTGGCAGCTCCATCGACTTCAAGGGACATGACTTTGGGCTCATACCATTTGGTGCTGGAAGAAGGAGCTGTCCTGGAATACATATGGGAGTTGCAACTGTAGAGCTTGCCCTTGCCAATCTGCTTTGCAAATTTGATTGGGAAATGCCGGTTGGGACGGACAAGGATGACTTAGACTTTGATGTGATACCTGGTCTTGCTATGCACAAAAAAAATGCTCTTTTCCTTGTAGCTAGGAAGTTTAATGTTTGATTCGATGCATGTAAGGTTAAATTAGTTTGCTACTTGCTATGGTTTGGAGTGTTTCAATTACATTTTGTGTTTTGAGTGTATTTTATGATAAAATCAATGTCCACATGTGTTGGTTATGAAGAGTTATGGTCTCATAGACTTGATTTTGTGGAAGTTATTACAGAATTTTGAAGTAGTTAAACCACAACCAAAAAAATACAAATTGAGATTAGATTTATTAATAAAAACCAAATTTAACCAATTGATATATTTAAAACAAAATTCTATCTATTTATTAGGAGTTACAATTTTGTGACTATGATTAAGTCACGTAAAAATTCCATTGTAACTTCCACCAAACTGAATCAATGGGATAAAAACTCTTGAATGATAATTTTTTTCTTACATAATATAATCTACTCTCCTAATTTGATTCAAATTAAATGATAATATTCTAAATTGTACTAAGTTTCAGGCACAAGGGCAAGTGTTTTGTTAATAATGAAAATTTTCAAGCATATGATTACTTTATATATATATATATAATAAGATATAGAAGTTGTCTGATAAAATATGCTAACGTAGATGCTTATGTCAATAATTTATTTTCATGATACATAAGATAACTAAAATTATGTAATTTATGAAATTTTATAAATACCTAATTTTATTTAATAATTTGTGAGCGTGTTTAAAAGTTCAATTGAATTTATCTAGGTTCTAATTGCATCAGATTATTTATATAGATGTTTAGATTTAAAAGATCCGTAATTTAATTTATTTGAGCTTGAAAACCCGAAACCCAATGTATAACCCAACATTCGAGGACCCAAGTTTTTATATTAATTAAGTTTTATTCATTTAATTTTAAAAAGTAAATAAAAAGGAGGAAAATTGAAATAAAAAATTGGTGGCAGTGATGTGATGCTGCCGTGAATGGCACCATCCGAAGAGAGCGGCTGGCTGTCGATTTCATGCTGCCAGCCTCCCTGCAGCTTCACTCTTCCCTCCCGTGATCACCTTGTTCAGGGTCATGGTGGCTAATCCACCATCCTAAGCAACCAAATTAGAGCTTAACAGGAAAATCAAAATTTTTAATTAAAGTGGAAGTTTGAAAACCAAGAACGCAGAAGATAGGATAGCAAAAATTATGTAATTTATGAAATTCAAATAAAAGATCAAATATTTAAATTTGAAATTTTAAAATTTTTAAAATTATGAAACTTACCAAAGACATAGTGGAATAAGAGACAATCTTTTTAAATTATTACTATAATTTTTTCCGTTAAATTTAATTTGTTTTTTAATATTTTATATTCAAAATTATATGCATTTTTTTTATCAAAATTATATCCAATTAAATATATAATAATAAGATATATTTCTCTTATTATGAAATTTTAAAATTTTTAAAATTATGAAACTTACCAAAGACATAGTGGAATAAGAGACAAATCTTTTTAAATTATTACTATAATTTTTTCCATTAAATTTAATTTGTTTTTTAATATTTTATATTCAAAATTATATGCATTTTTTTATCAAAATTATATCCAATTAAATATATAATAAGATATATTTCCTAGCAAAAATCTTTTTAAAAAATTAATTACATTAATTACATGAATCTTAATTATATATTTGAATATTTATGGCTTATGGAAGAGAGGTTTGTACTTATTTGTGTTTGTGTATTATCACTTTGTGATTTGATTGATAGATTATATGCATTCACTTTGATACAAATGATAAAATCCAATCTTGGGGTATGAGTTAGAAATTGATTGAGTCCATCTGTTTTATGCTGCATCTACCAACTATGGTTGTCTTGAGAGGTCATTTGATCTATTAGGCTATAGTTGTGGTAGTAAAAAGCTGAAATTGCTTCGTGTCCTGAAACTGAACTTCACTTCTATCATCCAGACTAGTATAACTAACTGCCCATCATCTTTCTAAGGGGTAAAAATTCCAGACACTTGTTTTTTATTTTTATTAAGTTGTTCTTATGATTTATTTTACAGGCAATGTTTGGAATCCTACGAAGCATAGACACGGACATGTTTACGATGTAATATGTATATGGTGACATCATGACAATTTGTAAAAATTAAGGATGCGAATATGGCAAGATAGATAATAAAAAAGAGTATTTTTTATATATTTAATCATATATTAAAAATATATAATAGATATCAGGTTGATTTTCATCTTTTTCCTTTTTTTTCATCGCATCCGATCAAGTTCGATATGTAATGTATTCTGACATGGCCCGCTGGTACGTATGTCGAAAGCATTAAAGTGTTACAAATGTAACACAAATATGCAAGAGGTTCAAACGTATCCTTACTTCATAATTGAAATCTAACCCATCCATGACAAAGTTTTACCATGTATATTTAGAAGTTTGAGTGCTTCCCGTTTTTCCTGCCAATTTATTTTATGTTCTGTTAATAGAAGTTATAAGTTTCGGTTTACAGGCATTCGGTTTATAAAAATGATATGTTTCAGTTCACAGGCATTTGGATAGGTTACATTATTTGTGGAGACAACATAACTTTCCAGTATTTAAATATTTATGGTTTCTTTTTGTTTCAAGTTCTGGTAACCCAGTTCTTGTACTGAAACAGAATGTGAGCAGGGAAAATAAAGAGAGAATGAAAATTACTAACAGAAAACAAAAGTTCTGACGCAATGGAAAAATTCTAAGCTTGTAAGGGATGGTTTTCCTCCATTATTGAGCATGATACATGCTAGAATTGTGATCCACTGTAGCCAGTTGACAAATACTGATATCCCGACTTAAGATGTGCAGTTGTTTGAACATAACAATAATTATGAGTCGCATAAAAAAATCAAGCTACAAAAATTGCCTAAAATAAAGCTGTGATGTTTTTTGCATTCATTTTGAAGGAAGAACAACGCAGGTTTTGCATAATTTATGAGACAATATTTGGAGTAGCATGCTGATTCAGTTTAGACTCCTTAAAGAAACACAGGCCTTTTTCTCAGGCTCGATTCACATGAAGAAGTTGATCTGAATTCTGCGGAATAAATTGAGCATAGTTATTTATAAGCTTCTGCAGAATAAATGGATGCTTGAGTTTGTGTTCTTTTATGTCAAGACATAGGACATCCCCCTGATTTGATGATTGAAATGAGCTCCTCAAACCAATACTTGTGCTTAGCAGCTCGAACACATTGTCTCGATCAACGTAGATGTTTCTTCATGCCGACCCAGAATGCTTATAAGGATCTAAGAAGCATATAAAAATGTTTAGTGCCTACTATAAATAGTTAAAAATTCATACATAAAGGCAAACGGTTCTCAAAGCAAGCATAAAAGAAAACCACATGAAGCTCTGTCGCTTTACATTGTTTATCATAAAACCTCATGTTCGTCAAAAGCTCAATCCAGGCAAAGATTTTCATTTGTGGCTCCAACAAGCTGAAAGAAACTATCATCGGATAAAACAAAGACTTTTGATCAATGTTTTATGGATCGGATATGTTATGGCATCAATATGAAGAATTGTGCTAGAGTGGAATGAACTTCTAAACATTATTGCACAACAGAATAATATTACAACGAATTTTAACACTGTTACATTTCGAATATCAATTTTGCATTTATAGAAGGCCCTCGCTCAGCCAATTTTACCTGCTTGATGCAGTTCTTACCCTATCTTATCATTTATGCTTGCACCACTGACACGGACAAAGATTTCTGCTGTAGGTAAGGAGCTGCTGCCCTAAGAACTTCGAAACCACCAATGAATTGAATTGAAGTTATTTCGTCCTGTCAGACAAGTTCCACAACATCAGATTTTTGTTTTGAAGCATTTGGGATAAAAATGGTAGTACCAAAAAGGGGAGAAAAAAAAGGAAAGGAATCCTAACAAGGCTGGAAATTTTCATTATGCTAAGTATTATGATTTCTTATAATATATGGTTTCTGATCATAAACAAGGAACCTATATACTCAAAGAGTATGATATATGGGTTATGAATGGTGGAACACGATTCACGGATTTGGAATGTTCAAGGCACTTATTGCTGGTTCTGGAAGAGCACCTTATGCAGTTTAAAAGACAAAATTATGGTAAATTAAACATAAAATATAAAAGATTTTCCTTCACTATAAAAGAAGAACCTTTCAAAATGATTTCAGAACCCTGGAAATAACTAATTTTTTTGGCAGTCTGTGTATAGTTGTAACATTACCACTTTCATAGGAAACAATGTTTCCCTTGAGGGAATTTTGGCGCCACTGACACTGTCCTCACTCCCAAGTCTGGCAATAAATCTTTAATATCTCATCATTTAAAAGAAATTGAGTTCTCAATGGGTTTGAGGCAGAGATTTTGGGACTGACTCATTCAGGCTACCATATGGTCAATTTGACAGCAATGAAGGCAATGCATGCTTCAGCTAAGTAAACAGCATTCTTCTTTTTCAGGTCTTTCCATCTGCTTTTGCAAACCACTTTGTGTGCTCCTATGAAGGCACCACTCACTAGCCTCTGAAACTATTCTTGAATGATTCTGCAAAAAGAAAAAAAAAATCAGAAGTCAATGAAACAAAATGATTAATAGATATAAACATTTCACACATCTGTTCTGTTCTGTTCTTGAAATTGTCCTATAGGGAATTTTTACCAGAAGACTGAAAGAAATACGTTTCATAGACTACAAAAAAGAATTTTCTAAAATTTTCTAACTTTTAGTAAACAATCCAATGCCATAGTCTTTTCTGTGACCAAACATAGGTATGGCAGAAAGGAAGTACACGTAAAGAACAGCCAAAGACATGAGGATATCATGAATGAGTCATTAACACAAGAAAAAAAAATATAGAAATCAGCTGATAAGACCTACTCATTCTGAAACTATTCTTAAATTTTCTTTTAAAATGGTAGCAAAACATTGAATCTATGTATCAAACCTGGAGAGAACCATCTGCAAGTTCCAATAACTTCTAAATTAAACCATTATACTCCATGATGGAAGGAAGAACTTCTTTCTCAATTCTGCAAATATAGATTACACTACAATCAAAAGTTTTGCATAAAAGAGATTCACTCGTTTCTAACAAATGAGCTTCAAAAATACCTGTCCCCAATTTAATAACCAGGATTTTATCAATAGTTAAACTTAAAAGGTTAAAGTCTGAATTTGATTCCTTTACTACCTCAATCCTATCGGTTTAGTCTAACTTCAATTTTAATGAATTTAGTCCATGTAGTTTTGTTAAACATAGATTTTTTTATATATATTTCATTTCATTCTAAAACAAAAAGTTGTGTAATGGATTGAACTAATGAATATTTTATTATGAAATAAAAAAATAATAATAATCAAGAATATAAATCACTTGAGCACTTGATTTAATAGTATGTTAATGTTCTTCAAATAAGTAGCATATAACCGCAAAGTTGACATATACCTGATTTCTGGGCGTTCCTTCCGGTAACAAATTAGCAATTAGAATGCAAGGAATGTGGGCTATTTGGGGCCACTCTTGTCCTTCATCCTCCTTGCATCGTTCTCTTAGCAGTGGACAGTCAACAATATCTAGTTGCAAAAGTGAGTCAAACATCTCCTTTTCCGGAAGGAATTTTATCCCGGGGCAGCTTCGGATTTCCAATGATTCAAGAAATTTGAGATTTTGAAAGCCTTTGGAGGATAGAGTTTCCAGGTTTGGAAAACCGAAGATGGTGAGGGAGGTGAGAGTGCGGGGCAGAAGCATTTCCTCACATGGGAAAGACACCACATCTAGAGAAGCACCGTTGATGGACAAATGTTTAAGGCAGGTGAGTTTGTGCAAACCGCACTCGATCACTGACTTGCAAATATTGGGTTGCCACATTGTAACTGAAGTGAGATTGGCAGGGAACCCCTCTTCCGGAAATGATGTCACACTTGGACAATCAAATATGAACAATTCTCGCATAGAGACGATGTTGTGGATGCAGTTAGGTAAGGCATGGAGTTTTTCACACCGAGAAAGGCTAAGATATCTGAGCTTGTTTGATTCACGAGGCAAAGATCTCAAATTATCACAACTGCAGATAATTATCGATTCAAGGGAACAGTTCTCTTCAATTTCTTGAGCTATGGACTCTAGTGCTCTGCATCTCCTTATATCGAGGTATTTAAGCCCCACAGGTAACTTGCCATTGGATGACAAGGATGTCAACTTTTCACAACCATAAATGTCAACATGTTGAAGCCTAATAGGTAACTCGGCCCTTGAGGATAAAGATATCAGAGACTTACAATTTTCAATCACCAAGTGCTTTAGAAGAGGCGTGCTGTTGATGTTGTTATTTACTCCATCCAGCAAGTACTGCAAATTCTCACACTCCTTAATGGTTAAACGTCTTACGTTTGGAGGCAAGTTTCCATTTGAAATTGAAATCAATCTTGGGCATCCTTCAATTCGTAGCACCGTAAGGGATCTGTAGCTGTGTAGGCTTTCTGCTAGCCTTTCTAGCCTTTCACAACAGTGTATGCTCAAATGTTCAATATGGCAAGGGATTCCTAACTGCATATACTCTTCCTTTTCGTCCTCTGCCCCTATGGAAACAAGTCTTGAGCAATTATGAATTTCCAAAAAGCGAATAGGCCTCAAATGTGTTGAGGGTCCTTCCTGGTTCTGCCATGAAGAAATTAGCTCCTCACATCCACGTATATAAAGACGTTCAGCTTTTGTCAACCCTAACATCATCCCCTCCATTGGGGAAGTGAATTTTGAAATGTCTGAAAGAGAGACTCTTTCAATGAATGAGCCAGAATTTGCACAACTTGTAGACGCCACCTCTTGGCACCCATTAATTTCCAAGTCAGACAACTTTGGAAGGCTTGAGAGTGAAACTACCAACTGCTCACATTCTTGAATCACAAGTTCCTCCAATGAAGGAAGACAACCAGGTAGACTTCTCAGTTGTTGACACAAATTAATCTTTAGCTTCTTCAAGGAAGGAAGACGATTAGGTAAACTTCCTAACAACTTGGGGCAATTTGAAATGATGAGCTCATGAAGGTGTTGGAAACTCCTTACATTTTCATCAACTTCACAGGGATCCCATTCCTCCGATTCTGGCAGGTCCTGAAAACGTAATCTCTCTAGTGACGGAAATGCATTAATCGACAGATCCTTTCCAAAAAAATTAGCACCCACATTTTTTACCTTACTCATCCTCTGGATAAGAAGTGATTTTAGCGACGGTAATCTTCCAACAGCTGGTAATAATGTGCAATTTGGACAGTAACACAGATCCAGAATCGATAGCTTTTCAAATGAAGGATCTCCGAACCAATTTGGGAATGTTTCACCTCCATAACATTCGATGGTAAGCCTTTCAAGCATTTTTGGAGGTTGGAGTGAATCCAACACGTCCTTGTGAATTTCTTCGCCGGTGAAATTATAACTCCACTCCAAAGCTAAATCACGAAGGTTCGACTTATAACATAACCCAGCCACCCATGCATCTTGAGCTTTGACAACATTCTGCAATTCTGAAATAACAAGTCCACCCTTAAGATTAGACAAATTCTCCATCTCCCTTATCTGACGGCCATTGTCTTGACTGACAACAAAATTTGTCAATGTTTGGAGATTGGTTAGTTCACCGATTCCCATTGGCATCATTTTTATTGAATCTGAACCTCTAATGTCAAGATGCCTTAGGTTAATTAAAAATCTCATTTCAGAAGGAAACTCTTCAAGACGAGAACACCCCCGCAACAGCAGGGTCTCTAAATTGTAAAGCTTGCACATTGAATTCGGCAGAGTTTTGATTTGAGTGTAAGAAAAATTTAGATAACGTAGATGCACCAAATCTCCAATAATATTGGGAAACTCCGTCAGGTAGCACCCTTGTAAAGAAAACACCCTTAAGTATTTAAATTCTGGCAACAACTCACTGAGAACTTGATTAGAGATATACCTCCACCCTTCGGGCATCTTCAACGGTAGGAAGGTTCTTAAACCCTTCTTTCCGTAAAAGACTTGGAACTTTTTAATTCTGTCTTTCCTACCGCCAATGTAAGATGAATGGCGAGCATGACTGGAAACGTTCAATGCCTTGTCATCCTCCACTCTGAAGCATATATCTTTGGCAACTGATTGAGCCAAATCATTAATCAGATCATGCATCATATATCGAGACTCATCCTTGTTGGATATTTCAAAAAATGACCTTTGTACAAGTTCTTGAAAGTACTCATGACCCAAATCTTCATTTTGCTTTGTAGCTTCCACTCGCAGAAAGCCTTCTGCCATCCATAACAAGACTATTTCTTCCTCGGTAAATTCATAGTCTTTGGGGAGTATGGCACAGTAAGCAAAACATCGCTTTAGATCTGCAGGAAGATGATGAGAGCTTAATCGTAAAGCTGGAAATATGTTACTCCTCTCTTCTGGTAAATTCCAAATCTCACTTTTTAGTATCTCTTCCCATTTACCAATGTCCACCTTATTGCGCAAAAGGCCTCCAATGGTCTTAGCTGCCAAGGGCAAACCCTTGCACCTTTTCGCAATCTGTACAACAAATTCTCCTAAGTTTGGATGCCCACTAAAATCTTTTGCTCCTAATGCATGCTGAGTTAATATAGAAATGCAATCATCATCTGACAACGTTGGCAGCTTATAATCTGGGATAGTACCCACCATTGATGAAACAGTTTTATCACGTGTTGTCACAACAGTCGTAGTTCCTACGCCAAAAGGGGATATTAGACGACTCCAATCATCATAGTTTTGATGCCAAAAATCTTCCAAAATCAGAGGTAGTTTTTTCTCCACCAGCTTCTTCTTCAATTCTGTTTGAAGCTTATTCAAATAATCTCCAGCATTAGAAGATTCAGAACTAACAGATCGCAAAATTGATTTCGTTATCTCCTCCATCTTAAAGTCTTCAGAAACACAGACCCATGCTTTAAGATCAAAACGATTATCTACACGACTATCATTGTAGACAAGCTGAGCAAGCGTTGTTTTGCCAATCCCTCCCATGCCAACGATGGGAATCACAGAAGCTCCAAAAATATTGCTATTATCACTCCCAAAATCAATTCAAGGATTGCTTCCTAGTCTTTTTCCGACCGCAGATTTGAGTTTCATTCACCAAGCAAGTGGTTGATCGCCATTCCGATGCTCTTTTTGGCCTCCCACCACCACTTTTAGTCAAAGCCAAGACACTTTTTTGTGCTTCTAAATTTTGAAATCTAGCAGTGATTTCTTTTATCTTGGACATCATTTCCTTATTAAATGATAAATGACTGCTGAACCTGGTAACGCAAGTATGAACGAGCTTTTGTACCTTACTGGCGCTGTGATCTTGATGTTCCCTCTTTAACTTGAGTCGCAAAGCTTCTGTAGCAAACTCATCCAATATGTCATCCGCATCGTATGCCAAGTCTTGAAGCTGGACCAACCAACTTTTCACATGCCGGTCCTTCTCTGCATCATCTAGCACTGCATGAATATTGCGCAAAGTCTTTTCCAACTTCTTGAGTTCCTCGCAAACTTCCTTCTCAGTTACAAAGTTGAGAAACTCAGAAGAGGCCAACTTACTAAACAACCCTTCAAAGAAAACAGATAAAGCAGCTTCAACGACGGACATGGCTCTTGACCTGCAAAAACACAGAGATTATGTGTAAAAACTTGAAACAGATGAGGGAAAAAAAAGGTGGTGCATCTAAAAAGAAAGAGATGCTCAATCAGTAATTTATGAAGGGCAATGGGTAGTAGGCTTTACTCTACACCATTCTTATCAGATGAACTAATTTTACTATCTAACCATACATAACTTCTTTCAAAGGCCTTATCTTTATTAACCAATCCCACAATTAACCTTTCAAGCAAACCTTTGCCTTCAAACAATTCCACTTACTCTCGTCTCTTTATCTATTATCCAACCAATGAGTAACTAAAGATGACCAAGAAACAATCAAGAAAAATTTTCATTCTAATTCCTGATCTTTTGCCTTTACTAGTAAAACATCAGTACATTACCCTATGCCTTTGAAAATAACTCTAAATCCATCAGTAGAGAGTTGTGATCCAAATAATAAATGCAATTATCATATGAGATACAACCAATTGAAAGAAAGGATTTAAGCACATATCAATAGTTGCCCCTTCACTCAAAGAACTTATAGAACAATGGAAATATGCTTTGATATAGATTAAATTTCCATTATGAAATTTGAGGATGTGGATTGTCATCTCAAACATTCAATTTGTAGAAACATTACATATTTTTTAAAGTTTGCATTTTAATGTTATAGGCAATAAATCATTAGTTCTCTTAATTTTGTTTGTAATTGTTCAAATATAAATTCCCGCATAACTTATTTCCCAAATGAATTCTAAGCCTAAAGCCTCCAAATTTTCATTCAACACACCTCAAGCAATTCTCTTGTCCCTCTTTGACAAACTCAATTCTAAACCTTCTCCAAAATTTTTCTTTAAATCTAGAGGAAATCTCATCATCTCTCCGATTTCGAACGTCCAAAACACCTCCCTTATCCATCCATAACCACCGAAGTAGCCTAAAACCTCACTTAAAGCTTCCAACTTATTACAAACCTCTATCTAACTTTTCACGAAAACCCTGAAGAACCTAAATCCACATCACTTGCCACATCACTAGGCATATCATCCAAACCACGTCATCTCAACCATATCATCTTTCCAAATCCAACCAAAACTCTATCTAAAAGGTCAAAGTCCAACCTGTTGGACTAAAAGCCTTCAATCCAATCACACCAGCGAAAGCGAAATCAAACAATAAATCAAACACATAAGAGACAACAATTTAACGTGGTTCGATTCAACTGACCTACATCCACGGATGAGAAACAAGATCAACTAGTTGTAGAGAATTACAAACATACATCATATCATCAACCTCACTCAACAATCAATACTCAATAAGACACTCTCAATCTCCTCTAGTCCTATGGAGTATTCTCAACCCAAATAAACACAAACCCAAACCCTTGTGCACCCTTTCAACATAACCAAACACATACCCATATGCTCCCATACATCATACCTATGTGGACCCTCTCAATCTCCTCTAGTCCACTAAACACAAACCCAAATCCTTGTCCACCCTTTCAACATAACCAAACACATACCCATATGCTCCCGTACATTATACCTATGTGGACCCTCTCAATCTCCTCTAGTCCACTCACAAACAAACATACACACCCATAAGACGTAGAGCCCCAATACTTCTATGGGGTGTCTATCCCACAAAATCCTACAACTCTCTTACATCTTTTTTCTCATACCTAACCCTGTAGAGACTTCGTATATTTATAACCATACAAACTTGCCCATTAAGAATCCCTCTCCTCTTAGAATTCTTTTTCTGTAAGTCAAACTTGCCTATTAAGAATCCCTTTCCTTTTAGAATTCTTCTCTTGCAAGTTAAACTTACCTATTAAGAATCCTCTTTCTCTTGGAATTCTTCATTTGCAAGTCTTCTTGTCCATCAAGCAATATCTGACAAATCTCAAATAAATTTTTAACAAATCTCAAACAAATCTCTTACGGGATTTGAGTCAATATTCTCAACAATCTCCACCTTGACTCAAATTCCATCAATCATCTGTCTTTATGCTAGACATGCTTGGCTCCACCTGCAATGGAACTCTTACAATCATCTTCTCTTCTCTTGTGTCTTCACGCTTCATACAAACCAATCCTCAATCTTCAAAACTTGAACTTGAACTCTTTTCCTGAATCGAGCTTCTCTGGACTTGCTTCTTCCCATGTCTCAAATCTCTTATAGGATTTGAGTCAATATTCCCAACACAACCAAAACTCTGTCCAAAAAGTCCAATCAAATCAAAACTCTACTCAAAGAGTTTAAGTCCAACCAAAACTTAACCTTAAAAGTTATTGTTTCACCAAAGTGCTCTAAAAGAGTCCCAACACCCAAATTTTGTTTGAAGAGTTCTTACCAATCTAAAATTCTTTCAAAGGGCTTGATCTAGCTAAAGCTTGGTCTTAACCCGAAAAGTTCTAATCAAGATAAAACACAGCTACATTAAACCCAACTCACAAGCTCAGACCTATAGTTGTCTTATTGGATCTTGTATTAAGACAATCTACTCAGGTATAATTCCTAAAATCTTTAGGCATCTTAGACTTCTCATTAAATTATGTGCAAGTGACATATCCTCCATGATCAAATATCATGTAGTCTTAGGAATGCATAATGCATACCATTTAGTTATAATTAGGATTTTTTTTTTTTGGGTTATAGACGGTGAAAATTTTTACAATGTAAACTCATGTCTAGCATGTGATGTAAAATCTTGCCATATAGATTAGGCATAAAACGGAATGTTCTAAATATGCCCTCGAGGCATATTCTTGTACTATCATCTAAGTATGTCATTTATACTAGATCACATTACATGTTTCTTTAGTTAGTCTTTATTGTCTTTGTAATATAATGGGATGAACTACTTAATTTAATACAATTGTTCGATAACACATTATTTGCATTATTTAATGATTGATAAAGAACTCAAGGTTATCAACCCACAGGTATTTTTCTAGATGCATGCATTAGATGTATGCATGACTGCACGTAACATATAATTTCTTTATACAAATTGCTTGTCATCAAGAATAAAAAGGAAAGGCATGCTCTTTAATCCATAAGCAAGTCAGGATGTTGGTTTGAAATGGATAAGTAAATGCTAGGTTTATCCCTAATAAGGTTTAGAGCTTTAATTCTTCTAATATCTTGTTTACTATTTTCGAACTAAGCTTTTTGATAAATACGATTGTGATATTGAAATCAGTATTGATTCCTGAAATATAAATAAATCGATTAATGACTCATTATCAATCTTAGTTTTCAACACTAAGAAGAGTACTAGAGGTGAAACCCACATCACTCACACCTTTGTTTAAAGGAGCATTAAAAAATAAAATAAAATAAATAAAATTTTAAAGTTCTTCAGACAAACCAAACCTCAATGTAATAATTGTTTATATGTCTTCACACAATTTCTATTTCACAAAAAATATACGATGATAGACAATTGTAAACACACCATTTAGTCCAAGGATGAAATTTTAAGAAATTCAAAAGTGTGCAATTTTCTAAAAAATTTCTAAATGAGAATTTTTCTAAATTTCATCGAAGTGTTGGAGAATTTAGAAAATTATTTCAATATTACGAATTTTCATTTATTTCTAAAAATAAAAATGAAAAAAATTAAATTGATAGAAAATTAATTGTTAAAATAAAAAAGGGATAAAAGAGTTGAGAATGTAATTGATAATTGTATATGCATTTTATCACATAATGCTTAATAAATTTTGAAATAAGTGGGGAATTTGACTAATGAAACTTTTAAGAAATTTGTGAGCGTAAAATTTTCTTAAAATTTTCTATGTGAGTAAACAATTTAAAAAATTAGAATGTCAAAGATTTTCATTTTATTTCCAAAATAACAGAATTAAAGGAAAATATTAAAATTAATTTAAAATGTTTTAAAAATAAAAATGAATTATTTTTATAAAATATTTAATTAATCTAATGAGGAAACCTCTTGAAAAAAACAGAATTATTTTCTTGAAAACTATTGAAGGGAAAAAATTATTTAGAGGTTCAATGAAAATGTTGAAGAAAATTTAAGAAAATTTTTATATTTAAATAATAAAAAAAGCAATAAAAATATTAAAAATAGAGATGAATTTAATTAAGGCTGTTAAAGATAATATAATATTAATTAATATCATCCTTTGAATGATCACTATGAGAATGTTAATACTATCCCTATAAACTTAATTCTGTAATGTAAACCAAAACCTATTCTTTTAAGATTTTTTAGTTAAACTTAAAGTCATTAAAAAAAATAGATTTAATTAAGTAACAAATCACACTTAATTAAAAATTTCTTGATAATTACTTCATTGATATTTAATGGTCAAATTCACAGATTTGCACATTACAGATATAATCATTATTGGTTTAATAATTATAATACTACCTACTAATAGAAAAGAGAATTTCTTAATACAAGAGATGGGAAAAGTGATTGTTTTGATCACTAATGATTTTGTAACAAGAAGATTTGCATCTCATGAATCACATTGGGGTCAATAGTTATCATTTCTCCATTTCATGGGTAAAAATTCTATCCAATGAGTTTTATTTTTTTCAAAATAAATGTGTTTGATATGATTCTCATGCTGATTTTTTACTCTCAAAATTATTTTATCCAAAGTAAAGAGATTTGGAAGTGTTAATAACGTTAGCATCAATTTTTATAATAAGCTCATAAATACTCTTCTCCTTCAAGGTCACTCTTTGGTAGTCTAGTTCTCCAACCTTCAAAGGACATAAAGGACAGAACTAATCATCAATTCCATGACTCAAATACTAATGTCAACAAAATGATTTTAATTTCTTCAGTCTCACAAATCCAACCCTTTGGTCATTGGCTTAGTGTGAATTCTATATAAAAACATATAGCAAACTAAAATAAAATTCTTCAATTCAAATCGAGAAGAAGCAAAAAGAAAGACAGAAAAAGAACCTAATGAAGAGGAAAAATAGCCTTTCAAACAAGAGAAATTTTACCATTAAATCCTAAATTTCTTGGCACACTAGTTAAGTCCGAAAACTTAGAAGATTGTATTCCAATAGCTCCTCTTCTGGTAGCAATGATACCTGATATTTACTAAAAATTTAAACGTAATAGTCAGAGATAAGTATTCAAAGCATAGAGCAAAATATATATTTAGCAAGCATTACAAAATAAAACAGTAACAAAAACATGATGAGGAGGAAAAAATCTTCTCACACAAAGGAAATTCTGTTGTTTAACTCCTAAATCTCCTGCTATAATGAACCCTAAAACTCTTTAAAGTTAAAGTTCAAAAACTCAAAAGATTGTGTTGCCAATAGCTCATCTTTGTTGCAATAATACCTAGTATAAATTAGAAATTTAAACGTAATGGTCAAAGACAGGTATATAAAAGATGAAGCAACATAAAAGTTTAGTAAGCTTACACAATAAAGCAGTAACAATAACCTAATGATGAGGAAAAAGGAACTTTTCACATAAAGGAAATTCTGCCATTAACTCCTAAATCTCCTGCCATAATGAACCCTAAAACTTTTCCAAGTTAATTCCTAAAACTCAGAAGATCGTATTGCCAACAGCTCTTCTTCTTGTAATAATACCTAATATAAACTAGAAATTGAAACATAATAATCACAGATAGGTATTCAAAGCATGAAGCAAAATATATGTTCAACAAGTATTACAAAATAAAACAATAACTAGACCTACCTTCGTTAACAAAATGGAAGTACCATGCAAATGGACAACATAGCCAAATATGGATGAAATATATATTCAAAAATAAATTTATAAGTATTAAAAAACAAACAAAATTTATTGTTATAAGGAAACCAAGTTTTATTGTTGCTAATTCATTTGCTCTCGTGCTTCATTGTGAGATTTATTGATTTCTAAATTTTTATAAGTAAATAGGTACAAGGATTAATATACTAAAATAAAGTATAATCGATTTCTCTTTTTGCATATTGTTTTTGTTTAGATTTTTTTTTCCCTATAATGGGAAACAACTTCAATTATGACATATAATACACTTTAAAACAGGAATACGAACATGCAATAAAGAAGCGATGCTACACAAACACGAATAAGACAATAAAATAATTTTAAAAAAAGACATGGATATGAATAATAAAATTTTTTTATATATTTTATGTTAAAATACTCAATGTATGTGTAAATATCAATTTTTAATATTTCATTTTTCAATTTAAAATTATATTTTATAATAAATAAAATATTCTTAATTATATAAGAAAAAAATTATTTTTAAATATATAAAAGATATTAATTATTTCAAAATGATGAAATATCAATATAGCTCAAACAATGAAATAATGTATATAATCTTTCAGGAAATGCGACAAGTTATATTACTTTCTAATTTTATTTTATTTTTTTTTACTTTTTGGTTTATAAAAAAAAGTCAAAAATCATGTTTGGTCTTCTAAAACATGCCTTACCGATTTTTGCATTTCTTCTTTTTCTTGCTTTTTTTTTTTTTTTTTGTTATTTTCCTGCTTTCTTTCCCTGCTCAACCGCTCTATCATCATCACTGCTATCGGTTGTTGCCCATCGATATTGAAAAATTATTAAAAAATTATAGGTAAATGCATCTACTCTTTTTTTTCTTATCTAACAAGATTTTCAAAAAAAAAAAAACGGAAAGTTAAATCTAAAAAAAAACTTGTCGAGATGGTGCGCAACTAGATTTTTATTTTTTTTTATCGTGTCCTAGCTTGGTTAGTATGTATTTTACTGTATCGATGATATGTTCGTGTCAAACACGAATACAACATTGATACAGAAAGAGTAGCCGCATGTCCGCGCTTTATAGACAAACAGTGGGTGACGCCATGAGACGTGGGACTAGATCGCTCCCTTCTTCTTTCTCTCCTCCTCTACTCTGTCATTACAGGTGCTGCTATTCTTTTAGCTCACATATCACTTTTAATGAGTTAGAGCATTAGAGTCATCTAATCGATGATCAATTTAAATTTTTTTATAACAAATATATGATTTCTATTTTAATATTTTATTCACTTCAACAAAAGCAAAACACCTCTTTAAAACAATTTTAGAAAATTTTGCGACATTTAGAACTTTGAAAAAATAAAACCTCTCCTCGAAGCGAAACTTTAAATTATGATATGATATATAATTTTTAATAAGATTTAATTTGTTTCGTGAAAAATATTTTTTATATTTTTAAATGTATATTTAATGAAAAATTGATTAATAAACGAAAAATAATTTATTAATAAATAAATAATAAATTACTTTTGAAAATTATCTTATAAATTTAAAAAATATATATTTAAAAATATTTATTAATATAATATTATTTATAAATAATATTATATTAATAAATAATATAATACCATATCAATAAATATTATTATATTAATAAATATTATTATAACATATTAATAAATAACATATTATTAATATAATAATATAATAAATATTTAAAAATAATGTATTAATATATTAATAAATAATATAAAAAATAAATAGTTTTATTTTAAATATTTTATATTAATGTAATATTTTAATATTAAGTATTATTATTAAAATATAATTATTTTTTAATATTAATAATTTTAATAACAAATAATTTTTAATATTTTAATAATTATATTAATATTAATTAAAAATAAAATTAAAAAACAAAAATATATTTCACTAATTTATTCAAACAAAAAAAGTTTTTCTTTCAATTAAAAAATATAAATTATTTTCAAAAATTATTTTTCAAAAATTATTATTTGCAAAACAATAGGAGCCTAAATCGATAAAAAAAAAACCATAAATAAAAGAAGTTGGTAACTAGAGAAATTCCAACGTACCATTGAAAGTATCAATTAAATACAAAAAAATTAATAACTAGCAATTATCTTGTAAATGGAAAGTATCACATGCTTTCAAGCAAGTTTTACTATTATACCAAGAAAAAAATATATTATTTTAAAATAAATTGTGAATGAAAAGGAAAAAGCATTCATGAAGCCAGAAAAAGAGAGAAGAGATTACAGTTTCAAGAGGCTTAAGAGAATTTTTCTCACGATCGCCAGTGAAGATAGATGGATCGACAGGGAAATGGTGAAATATGGAAGAACAAGTAAAGTCTCCGGCTTATGGAGGATTTGGGTGGAGAAGGTAGAAAAAACAAGAGCTAAGGAAAGAAAACGATAAGGCAAAGAAAGTTAGAGGAAGTTTGTTGCTCAGAGACTTAGATGGCCGTCTTTGGAATTTAATAAAAAGTTTTAATAAAGTTTCAACAAATTAATTTGAAAGTGTTATGATAAAAAAAATAATAAAATTGAAATACAGTGAAAAAAATTTAATATTGAGTTTTTGGGATTAATTAATTGATTAATTTTATCAAATTGAGCACATTTGACCTATATAATAAAATTTTCTAATTTAAATTTTTATTTAACTATTTTTAATAAAAAGTTTTACAAATTTTAAATAATTTTATCTAAATTTTTTTCAAAGACTCTATCAAATTATCTGACTTCTTTGATCACAATTATGGACATTTATTGCCAACTAATGAAGAAAGTAGAATTTCACAGTCGTACCAAACCTATAGTCAGAAAGAGAAAGGTGGTTTAGCGCTAACCACTTATTTATAATGACATACAACTGTGAAGATAAGAGAGAATCAATTATTTAAATATCTGATGTAAGCAATGATGTAAAAAGTTCTCTTTTAAACGAAGATATTAATTCGTAATTTAATTTAATTAATTTATAAAATTATTTTTAAAAAATAATATTTATATATTTTTTTAGTTCAAACTATAACTTTCTTTATACAAAAATTACTGTTTATATTTTGAATTTATACAATTAATTTTTATGGTAGAAAAAATTTTAAAATAAAAAAAATTATTTTATTTTTAAGATCAAAATAAATTGTTAATTTATAAAGAAATTTACTAAATTTCTTAAATTTTTTGAATTCATTGATTGTCTATTAATAAAAGATCATGGGAATTTGAATCCAATACTTTACATTTAAATTTTAAATCTTAATCATTTATATTAATTTTATTGACATTTATAGAGTTAATTTGTATTTACATATAGCTCCAGTTGCAACAATTTCATTAAAACAAAAAAGGAAAGTCTCTGTCAACTGAATTAATTTATAATCAATTTTTAACAGCTTCTCTTTTTTAATGTATAATGTTACTTTTTTTAATAACTTACTTTTTTTTAATAACAGTTTCCATGATCCATCTCGGGTCACAATTTTTATCTAAAATAAAAGTGAATAAATAAGAATTATAATTAAAAAGTAAGAGGTGAGAAAAAAATTAAAAAAATTAAAAATTGATTTGAATTTATAGTATTTGATTTGGTTTGGATAAATTTTTTTTTTATTTAGTTTGAAATAAATTTAGATATTAATTATATTTATTAAATTTGGATTAAATTTTAAATCAAAATATAAAAATTAAAAAAAATGATTTAAATTAAATTAAATTAAATATTTTTATTAATTTTTATACATGTTTTAAATTTTTTATAAAATAAAAATAATCATTCTATATATAAATCTATTTAAATATATTAAAAATTATATTCAAATAATATATAAAAATAAAAAATTTAAATTTAAAAACTAATAAATCAAATTTTTTAAAAATTAGTGATTTATATTCAAATTGAATTTTAAAAATTTATAATATTATATAATATTTTAAAAAATCAAATTTAATTCGATCCTATTCAAGCTGACATTACTATAAAAAAAGTTATTATGAAAAAACAAAATCCATGCTATTGCTATATATAAAATTCTCTATTTGAAATTAAAATGTATGTCTGGCCGAATTGTGAGCTACTTTATTTATTATCCTCTAAGAAGTTTACTAAGTATAAAGTGAAAATTTTCATATAATTTCGACCAAAAACAATTTTTTTAAAGTAATTTTTTAATCTGTTTCCTTTAAAAAATGTCATGTGTTTTGTTTAGTCTCTTTATTTTATGATTTTTTCTAATATTCCCCTATTATAAAGTTTGATATGAAAAGTACTTGTAAACTAAACTAAAGAGACTTACATTCTAAGAAGTCTCTTTAGAATATCATCTTGAAATATTCAAAGATAGTATTGCAAAAGATCATATTATTACTTTTTAAAAAACTGATATTTAATAAATTTAAATTTTACTATTTAATTTTTATAATTTTTTTATTTTTATAGTGTCATTTCTTTAATATAAAATAATCACACTAATTGCATATTGCTTGGAGTGTAACAACCCCATTCTAATATACTATATTTTAAGGGTATACTATAGACAATCACTTTTGGATTTTTTTTCGTGGTGGGTTTTAGATAAGGTTAGTATAATTTAATAAATAAAAGTGAAATTTCAATCATGGTAAAATTTTAAGATTAAAAGTTTAAAATTTAAAAAATCAAGATTAGGGATTTGATTTTTGAATGGGGGATAAACGAATCAGATGAAAGGGAATTTGATTTTCAAAACCCTCATTTAACCTAGTACTCGGCCTTATATAAATTCCAGCAATCACATAGAAAGGGACACAGAGGAAAAAAGGAAAGAAAACAAGAGTGATTCAAGTAAAAAATTTTTTGAAAAGTTTTCAAGGAATTTGTAGTTTAATTGGTTTTTTTGAGATTTTTTTTTAATTTTCTAAGAATTTTTTGAAAATTTTCAAAATTAGATGAATTTTCTGGTGAAATTCAAGTTTTTCAATGACTTTTTCTACTAAAAACTAAGTTTCTGGCGATAAAACCTAAAAACCAACAAAAATTTCACCTATGTTCTTTGCGTCTAGAGAGAGACACAGAGAAAATTGAATGGAAGAAAGAGAAAAGGGAAGGAGCATCTAAGAAAAAGAAAATTTTTTGCCTTTTATACCCGAGCAAAACGACGTCGTTTTGAGATACCAGAAGCATATAGGATTCGCACGTTGCCCTAGGTCTGACTCGACCCGTAGCGCATCAACCCGTTTCCCGCTTCACTCAACCTCTGGCGAGCCGTTAAGCTGAGCCACACACTAAGCCGATCTAGCCGTGTCCCTTTTTGGAGCTACATCTCAGCTGAACCTAGCTGAGCCGTGCTAAGGTTTCATTCATTTAGTTTTATTATTTATTTGTTTATTAACATTATTATTAGTATTATTTTTGTTTATCTATTTATTGATCAAATTAAAATAATTTATTTACTTAATTAAATATCCTTAAATTTTCAATGATTTTTAAAAAATAAAAAACTTCAAAAACATGTTTTTGAAGAAAAGTTGAAAGTATTAATTTTTCTTGAAACTAAAGATTTCAAAAAAATATTTTTGAGGAAAAGTTGAAAGTATCAATTTTTCTTGCAAATAAAGATTTCAAAAAGGGATTTTTGAGAAAAAGTTGAAAGTATCAATTTTTCTTGAAAATAAAAATTTCAAAAAAATAATTTTAAGGAAAAGTTAAAAGTATCAATTTTTCTTAAAAATAAAAATTTCAAAAAAATAATTTTAAGAAAGAGTTGAAAATATCAATTTTTCTTAAAAATAAAATTTTCAAAAAATATATTTTGCAGGGAAAGTTAGAAGTATCAATTTTTCTTTAAAATAAAACTTTCAAGAAATGTTTGTTTGAGAAAAAGTTGAAAGTCCCGATATTTCTTGAAAATTTTTAGTGTAAAATAATTCGACGTCGAAGCCTCTGTAAGAGAAATTATAATTTTCTTATATACTCTTGAGATGAGAGAATTTTCTTAATTTTCTACCAAAAGTATTAGAGTCAATTAAAAACAAATTTCGATAATTAATTACTTGGTAAAGTTTTAAGGCTTAATGGATAACATGAAATCGAGCTAGTACCATCTTTTGATGGGTGTTGTGGGGGCGCTATAACTTTACTCACAAGTAACCATACTCCGAGACCTAGTTTTAGTTTCGTAGGCATTGAATCTACCTTTTAAAGATACCTAAGTCAAACTTAAGATTTCTCTTTAAAAAGGGATAGAATTAGTCAGATGACCAATTGCACCTAAATAAAAAAGATTAGTGGCGACTCTTCAAGTCAATGTCTAGCAATAGATCCCCAGATCTAGATGTTATAATAGTTTGATGACTCCACTGGGAATAAGTCGAGAGTTAGGCCAATAAATAAATTTGTGTTATCCAAAAAGCCTAATAAAACTTAATTCTTTGTAAGGATTTTTTTTTTCATTCATTTTATTTATTTATGTTGCTAACTATGTCATTCATATTCATATGCATAACATGGGCTCTATACCTGAGTTTTGTTCCTCTAGGAAAGAGTAAAGTATCTATGTTTTTGTGAAGTTCTAAAACCTTCGCAGTGACTAGAGAAATACTCTCACTCAAATTGAATTTTTTTTGCTTTAGCCTGTAATGGGTGAGAATTATGGTGCCTTACTAGTCTTTGATAGACAAGGATGTACGAAGCAATTTGAGAACCTTTAGACTATCAACTTTAAACCATATATAGTAAGCATGAGGAACCTAATCCATAGTTAGAGCCTTACCTTTTCTTTCCATAGAAAAATCCAATAGCTAAGTTACATTTTTGCAATGATTGATTTTTCTTGAGTGGAAATTAACTGTTGTTGTCATGTTCTATGAATTGTCATGATAAGATGCATGTTAGTTAATTTTTTCTTTTTTCATATATTTTCTTTCACTTAAAGTAAAATAACATTGGGCTGCATATATTTTTGGCATTCATTTCACATATGTTAGCTTGAAATCGTATTGAGATTATTTTTATAGTCTTTCTTTCATGACATGAGCATGTAATAATGCAAGCATCTTAATTTATGGTAATCAAAGGTTCAAAGATAGCTTGACCGTTGGCAAATTCAAGTTAACCTACACGTTACCCGTATAATACTCGATCATGAGCAAGATAAATGGAACAAGAACAAAATACTCGTATGGACAAGATCGAGAAGGCTCAGGAAAAGATAAAAGAAGAGTTGACCAAGATGATGAAAATGTTAAAAAAATTAGATAAGGGTAAAATAATAGAAGAAACCCATAATTTGAATGAAAGACAAGATATTGTGGATCTTTTATACCCTCCTAGGTTCAGTCCAAACCAAGGTCAATCTTTTTAGGAGACATAAGCCCCACACATACCATTTTTTAGGCTTGGGGCATATGCTTACACCTATCCTGAAGCACCATATTATAGTTATACTAACCCCACATTTAGGGTAAAGATAGCAGACCCAATTAAAGTTCCTGATTTTGATGATCCTAAAGAGAA